CCCCAGAGCGGGACAGAGCCCTCCTGCAGCCCCCCGGCCGCACGCACCCCCTGCGTGGCCTGCCTTGTCCCAGAAACGTCGACCGTGACGGCTGAGCGCCAGCCGCAGGTTTTCCAGGCCAGGAACCCGGGAGGGGCGCCAGGAGCGCTGGGAGGGATGGAGGGAGCAGGAGGGTGCCGGTGGGAGTCGCTCCAGGGAGTCCGCCCCACACGAAGCCACATTCCCGGAGGCCACGCGGACAGCACCAGCACCGCCCCTGCTCCCCTGCTCCGACCTAAAGTGAAACCTGAAACCTGGCTGCTTTGCTGCGGTCACCCGGACACCCAGAGGCCAACCTTCTGGGTCAGGGGAGGGAAGGGAGATGCGGATGGGAGTGGTTCTCCTGCAGAGTCGGAAGCGGCGGCTGAGGCTCCAGCCCCTCCCTGTGTCTGCAGCCTCCGTGTGCCTGACCCTGCGCCCCTGCCTCAACGGTGGCAAGTGCATCGACGACTGTGTCACGGGCAACCCCTCCTACACCTGCTCCTGCCTCTCGGGCTTCACGGGGCGGAGGTGCCACCTGGGTGAGTGGCTGTGCTGGGCTCAGGAGGAACGCTGTAGGCTCCGCCAGCGGCCCTGAGCGCCCAGGGGTCTCTGTCCCCAGGGTGTGGGTGACTTGCTTAGGGGACCGCTGGGGAGCAAACGCCATGGTCCCCTGGGGTGAGCACCACAGGCTGGTGCAGCTGCTGCCCTCTCTGAGCCAATCTCGGGCTTGCTCCTCCGTCCCTGGCCCAACCCGAGGCCTTGGAGGAAACTCCTCAACCGGGTTCCTGCCGCTGAGGCCTCAGCCTGCCCATGTTTCAGACGTGAACGAATGTGCCTCCCAGCCCTGTCAGAACGGCGGGACCTGCACTCACGGCATCAACAGCTTCCGCTGCCAGTGCCCGGCCGGCTTTGGGGGACCCACCTGTGAGACAGGTGAGAGGAACCCACGCAGGCCCCCGTGGCCCTGCTGGGTGCAGATAGCGGAAGACACAGCTGGACAAGGCTGAGGTCTAGGAAGGTCCGGCAGCTGCGCGTGCTGCAAGGCGGACAGCCCAGAGAGGCCACCCTCGGGGAGTGGAGGAGCCCGGATGCCCAGGGAAAGGCCCATATCTGGGTGGGGGGCAGGAGCCATGACCAGTCACACAGGCTTCCTAGGCCATGGCATTTGGACCAGGTATGAGACCTCAGGTCAGTGCCCAGGTCCCAAACCAGGCCAGGGTCAGGGCCAGACAGGCACCAGGGCCTGGATGAGAACCCGTCAGGGAGTGTGGGGGGGCCGTCAGACCCCCTCTCAGCCCAGGACCAGCTGGAGGGGAACGTGCAGTGCTTTTGGGGTCAGATGGGCTGGCTGTGAGGCGGGAAGGGCACAGCCACACGGTCCCTGCCGCTCCCTCCAGCTGCTCCTGGATGCTGTTTCTCTCCTGCCCCCGCCTTTAGGGAAAGGGGGTCTCACAGCCTAGGTGGGGCCTAGAGTCCCTCTCCACCCTCACTGCTGCTTCCAAACCTCTGCTTGCCCTCCCAGTTCAGAGCCCAGCTCTTTTGAAGCAGCTGTCATCAGAGTCGGCCTCTACTTACTGCCCTTCCGCCAGCACCTCTTTGGACCCCTCACCCATGCCCTTCACCCACCTGGTAAAGAAAGGTGGACACCCCCCCCATTCCTGCTCTCCGTCTCACCATAGGGCTCTGCTCAGGGAGCTTTGCAAAGGGAGCCCCTAAAATCAAAGCACTGTGACCTGCTGCTCCCCACCCGGCTCAGCCAGGTGTGCATGTCCTGTGTGACAATCGCTTATAAAAACATGTAATAGATTGTTTAGATCAGTGTGTTCAAATAGTGACTATATCAATATCTCAGTCTAGAAAAAACAATCCTTATCAGATATTTATGGTCATGGGAAGTTTTTTAAAGTATTTCATTCCAGCGTTTACACATATTTGTACTGGAGAGAACTATAGTTGAGTGGCAGTAAGGGACTTTTGCACCTAAAAGTACATTAGAATCAAATTCTGCAGGAATGCAACGGAAACGTGACTTCAAGGTCCAAAGGAGCAAAGCACAATTCCCACCTGGCGAGATGGGCTTGCCAGTGTGTTTACAGATCACACATGGGTGACAACACAGTGACCCCAGTTATCCCTTGCTCCTCGGCCCCTGCCACTGTCTTCCCATAGCCACTGTTGGAGCAAGCTCCATGCAAAGGAGCCTTTCTTCATCCAGAAATTCCTGCCCTGCTTGCCCACATGTTCTTGACATGAGACTGGTGGGAGTCAGGCTTCTGTGGTGTTGGTGCCATGGCAGACTCAGCCCTGCAGGCTTCTGTCCCCTTGGTAAAGGCCAGCGAGGCCGGCAATATCTCCTTCCTCTCGCTCAGTGCTCTCCCTGTGCGGTGCTGGCTGGGGACCTGGCTGCGGGAGGACCCAGGCCTATGATGAGGGTCCCCAAGGGTGACTGAGCAGAGCTTCCCAGGAACGGGCTGCTCCTTGGCTATGCCCCAGGCTCCAGGAGCCCCTCTGTGACGTACAGCCTGGTGAGGTCCCCTAAGAGGGCTTGGGGCTTGGTGCCAGGAGGCTGGTTCAGGTCTTGGTTCTGCAGCATGTCAGTTGTGTACATGGCCTTGAGCCCTGAGCCTTGGCTTTCAGTGCAGCTGTGGCACAAGCCTTGGGTACAAGCCTTCCCCCCTGCGACCCCCCCCCCGAGGCTCCCTGGTCTCAGAAGCCACCTTGGCCCCCAGAGCTCATAACAGCAGGGGCACCCACAACTACAGACAAGGGCGCACGTTCTGCTCCACGTACTGGAGTTGGGGTCAGGGAGACAGGGATCACCATGTCCCATCAGCCACCTAAGGGCTTTCACACCTCCTGGGGGAGTGGTCAGGCCCTCCTGTCTCTTTCCTGTGCCGAGGAGAGGGCCCCACCATTCCCCCATGACTCCAGGGAGGGACACACGTTCTGGCTATCACTCCGGTTTCTGAGTTTGTTTGGGTATGAGCTGTCAGTAAGACAGGGGATGTGGCTACCCCCTGCTTCTGGCTCTGCTGCCTGGGGGCAAAGGAGAGACCTGGGATGCCTGGGCCAGGTGCTCTGGGCTCAAGGAGGGTCAGCATCTGATAAGGAGGCAGGGCAGAGGGTGGGCTCCCCTAGCTCACTCCCACTCAGTAACGGGGGACCAGAGTCCCTTTGCCCTAGCTGTTCCTGCACAGGCCATTGCCTGCCCCACCCAGCCTCTCACCCCAGGGGCCACTCCTACACCGTGGGTGCTGCACACCCTTCCAGGCTCAGTCACAGCCTGCATCCTCGACAACAGCTCGTCACAGTCCGCTTGGAATAAGAGCCACCTAGGGAGGGACTGTCCCCCAAGAGTGGGAGTGGGTTCCGTGCACTCCCATTTGCCCCTGCCCAGCATATACACTCCTCCCTCCATCCCAGGTTTGCTGAATTAGACCTAGTTCAGATGGAGCTTCAGGTGGCCAGTCAGGACTGTCTGGCCAGGCCTGGCCTCTTCCTTGCCTGTTGCCCCCTCAGAAACCTGCCTGCCAGGCCCCCCTGCCCTGCAGGCCCGTCGGGGATGGGGCTCAGTGTACGTCCCAGGGGTTTCTGTCCCATCAGGTAACCACAGCTGGGAGTCCATCATCCTGTCTACACCTCTTCACTCTAGCCCAGTCCCCCTGTGACACCAAAGAATGTCAAAATGGTGGCCAGTGCCAGGTGGAGAACGGCTCTGCGGTGTGTGTGTGCCAGGCTGGATACACTGGAGCAGCTTGCGAGACGGGTGAGTGGCCTGGCTTCGGGTTGGAGAGGGGCTCCTGCCTGTGGCCAGGTGCTGGGCACAGGGTGGTCGTGGCCTGGCTCAAGCAAAGCCCCCACCTCTGCTGCCCCTCAGATGTGGACGACTGCAGCCCTGACCCCTGCCTGAACGGAGGCTCTTGTGTTGACCTAGTGGGGAATTACACCTGCTTGTGTGCAGAGCCCTTCAAGGGACTTCACTGTGAGACAGGTAACTGGCCAAGTGCCTGGAGCCCGCCATGGCTGATGGTGGCCTTGTGCCGTGAATACCACCATAGCCACTTTCCCCTTCCTGCCTCGCCGTCTGACTCACCTCACACCTGCCTCTGGGGTAGGGGGATGCCTCTGCCCCCTTCCCACTCCCCAGCGTTCCCGTTCAGCCTGGATCCTCAGCCACCAACTGCAGGGAAAATAGGAAGCAAAAGATAGATGCTGCCTCCAAGGTGCTGTGTGAGGCTGAGCAACCCCTTCCCCTCTCTGGGCCTTGGTTTCCATCTGTGAAGTGCCGGGAGGGATGACAAAGTTCCCAAGGCTCTTCTTCCAGCCTGGGTGACTCTTGACTTTTTAACATGTTCCTTTCCTACTCTAGAACCCTCAGCACACAAGGGAAAGTAATGGGAATCAGAAAGAAAACTGACCTTTCACTATTTTCTATTCTATTTTGTATTGTTTAACTGCTAGTTGTGACTTGTTAGAGGAATTAAAAGGCCAACTGGAGATTACAGCCCACGGTATAAAAATGGCTTTCGTGTCTGATTGTTGCACCCGCCTCCAGAGGCTCACCCGCTGTGCCGACCTCTATGGACGCAGCAGGTGCTGCTTCTCTCCAGGGAGATGATAAAGACAAACTATTCAGGTTATTTTTATTTAAAAAATTAAGGAGGGAATTCTGTTTTACCCATAAGACACAGAGGGTCATGAGCCCTCCATCAGTCTTTGCCGAGGGCATGGGAGGCCAGGGTGTGTCCTGAGGGGAGGGTGGTGCTCTGCAGAGCAGGAGCAGGAGGAGGCAGCCTCACCTATTTGGCTGCTTTAAAGTCACTGTTCCATGTCACAGCTCACTTTGCCCGGATTGTTATCTAAATATCAGTGTATTTCCCTAAATTCATGTCAGGAAACAAGGGGTTTCAAAAGATTTTTGCAAATAAACTGTGTTTCGTACAGAATAATAATGCAAGTAGACGTGAATAATAAGAAACAGACTGGCTGGGTGCGGTGGCTCATGCCTGTAATCCCAGCACTTTGGGCACTTTGGGAGGCCAAGGCGGGCAGATCACTTGAGGTCAGGAGTTCAAGAACAGCCTGGCCAACATGGTGAAACCCCATCTGTACTAAAAATACGAAAGTTAGCCAGACGTGGTGGTGCACACCTGTAGTCCCAGCTACTCGGGAGGTTGAGGCTGGAGAATTGCTTGAACCCAGCAGGAGGCAGAGGTTGCAGTGAGCTGAGATCACACCAATGCACTCCAGCCTGGGCGACAGAATGAGTGGAGACTCTGTCTCAAAAAAAACAAAAAAAAGAAGAAGGAAGAAACAACACACTGACACTTGTGCTAATGTAAGGGCTGACTGACTGCATTACAAGGCGCAGATGCTGACAGTCTAATCAGGTCTGACAGGAAGTTGGCCACAAATTGAAGACTACAAGAAAGAGTTTCTAGTCTTCTGCTTCTAGCCAACAAGAATTAACTGCTCTTGGAATTTCCTTCTCACTGTCATCACCTAGAAAAACAGACAAAATTTGTGAAACGCCTTGTTCAGCCATTGGACAACAGACAGCACAAGCCTGTCAAAGGAATCAAATGAGGTGAGCCCTACAATTGCCCCAGATTCTGCCTGGGGTAGTTTCCAGGCCACTGTGCTGGGAGGAGGAACTGAGAGTCCAGCAGTCCGTCTGAATTGAGGAGACGAAGATCCTAGTTCAGTGGCTACAGGATGGTGCTCCTGAGGCAGGAGGGAACATGAGATCAAGAGGAGACCTCCCTGAATTTTGGCTCAGTATCATCAGGCTCAGGATGAAATCCGCAAGGCTGGGGAAAGAACCACTAGAAAGCAGTAAGTCAGACAGTTCCTGGAGCTCAAACAGGGCTGGTAATCTATTGTGTAGAGTCATCAGTGGGGTGTCACTTTAGTAGTGCTGAAATAAGACTAATGTCGACCTGCCCTAACAAATCTTAAAGAAAGCTTAAAAGGATCAAACTGATCCTAAGTCATTTAGCCATGTGCCAGAATGAAATCCTATATACTCCTTAACAGGAGTATATCAGTAATATAACAGAATCCAGAACTCCAAAACACCCAGTCAAAAATTATCAGGTCTACAAAGAAGTGAAATGTAACTCACAGCCAGGAGAAAAATAGATCAATAGAAACAGGCAATGATAGAATTAGCAGATACAAATGTTTAATTATCTATTACGAATATACTCCTATAATCAAGATTGTTGAGAGGGAAAAAACATAATAAGAAGTAGAAGGTATTTTTTAAAACTTGCAGAGATGAAAAATATATCTGAGTTTTTATTTACTTATTTATTTATTTTGTTTGTTTGTTTGTTTTGTTTTTTGAGACGGAGTCTTGCTCTGTCACCCAGGCTGGAGTGCAGTGGCCGGATTTCAGCTCACTGCAAGCTCCGCCTCCCAGGTTCACGCCATTCTCCTGCCTCAGCCTCCCGAGTAGCTGGGACTACAGGCACCCACCACCTCGCCCGACTCATTTTTTTGTATTTTTTAGTAGAGACGGGGTTTCACCGTGTTAGCCAGGCTGGTCTCGATCTCCTGACCTCGTGATCCGCCCGTCTCGGCCTCCCTATCTGAGTTTTTAAAATACACTGAATAGTATTTACAGCAGGTTAGATATTGCAGAAGAAAAGATCAATGAACCTGAAGAGTGAAACAGAACAATTCAAGATGCATCACAGAGAGAATAAGACTAAAAGAAAAAGAAGAGATCTTCAGCAGCATGCAGAACAGTATTAGGGTAATAGGATCCACGTATCTGGAGTCTGTGAAGGAAGATGGAGATGGGTGTGGAAAGGAGTGTGACAGAAAAAGTATGTGAAGAAATAATACCCAAACGCTTTCCAAATTTGATGAAAACTAAAACCCACATTTCCAAGAAAAGCATGAAGAAAACCACACAAAGTCAAACCATAATCAAATTGCTGAAAACCAATGATGAAAAATCTCAAAAACAGCCAGAGGAAAAAGCCACATTACATACAGAGAAACAAGAATGACAACAGACTTCTCATCAACAACAATGCAAACCAGGAGACACTGGAGTAACACCTTTAAAGTACTGAAAGAAAAAAACCATCAACGTACTGTAGTGTATTACCAGCAAAACTACATTTCAAAAGTTAAGCTGAAATAAAGACTTTTTTACACAAACAAAAATGAAGAGTATTCATCACCAGCATACCTGCATTACAAGAAAATGTTAAATGAAATTATTTAGACAGAAGAAAAAAAAAAAACTGGTACCAAGGGAAAATCTGGATCTACGCAAAAGAATGAAGATTGTTAAAAATGATAAATATGTAGGTTGAAGACTTTTTAATCCCTTTAAAGATAATTTTTAAAATAAAATAATAAAGCTTATAACATATGCAGAAATAAAATAGATGACTCCAATAACAAAAACCAAGGTGTGCAAACTTTTTCTGTAAAGGGCCAGATAGTAAATACTTTTGGCTTTTTGAGCCATATGGTCTCTATCACAATTCAACTCTACCATTGTAATGTGAAAGCAGCCAGCCATAGACAATACATAAATGAATAGGTATGGCTGTGTTCCAATAAAACTGTACTTTAAAAAATTGATGGCAGGTAAAATTTGGTCTGTGGGTTATAGTTTACCAACTCCAATGTAAAAGATAGGAAGAAATGGAAGTATAATATTGTAAGGTCCCTATATTATATAAAGTGGTATAATGTTGTTTGAAGGTAGGCTGTGTAAGTAAAAGATACACATTGTAAACCCAAAACAACAAGTGAAAAATAATAATAAAGAATTATAGCCAATAAACCAATTGTGGAGATAGAAATTGAATCCTAAAAATACTCAATCCAGAAGGCAGGAAGAGAGGAAAAAAAGAAAGAAGTGGGACAAGTGAAAACCAAAAGCAAGATGATAGGTTCAATCTAGTCATATTGGTAGTTACATTAAAGTTAAAATGAGTAAACATACAAATTAAAAGGCAAAGATTGTCAGATTGAATTGAAAAGCAATACCCAACTATACGCCATCACAAGAACCCACTCTAAGTATAAAGACACAGATAATTGTAAAGTAATAGAATGGGTTTCTGTTCTGAGAAAGATAGAGTAAGCACAGTCTACCCCTGTCTCTCCCCCACTGAATACAGCTACAATCCTGGACAGAATGCATGGAGTAGCTATCAGAGGACTCTGAAAAGTCAATAGTAGCAGGTGGATTGGGGAAGAAGACCAAGCTTTGAAGTGCCACCAAACCAGTGGTGAGTTTACCATTGTTTGTTTTTTGCTTCGGTATCCCCCCAGCCTGGACTTAAAGCCACCTCAGAACCAGAAGTAAGCCTCCACATGGACAAAAAGAGTGCTCCAGAAGAAGCCCTCTAGTCCCGCTTAAGAAGCAGGGCTGACAGTGCAGAAGTTGGGGAGTCCTCAAGTGTCTTTAAACTGCGAGGGAAGAAACCTTCCTCTCCAGTTGGAGGTGCTGTGGTTTCAAAGGGGTTGGGTATTGTTTTTCCCTTTCCTGTTGTTTTTCCCTTTCTCTGTCATCCCATTACTTGGTCCTAGCCATGAATGCCATCATTATAAAAGTGGCACGGTAAGGAAGTGAAAGCCCCAACATTTTTGCCAGAGGACTGAAAAAGGTAGCCCCAGAAAACTGGAAAGTACTGGGGAAACTGTGGAGGGTGAATCTTGGGACAGCAACTCCATAAAGTTATTTATGAACCAAGTTGGCAGAATCTGTGTAATCTGATCTAAAATTTTATTGACAATACCATTTATAATTTGACAATACAATTTATAATGGTATGGTCAGTAAACCTCTAAAGTTGAAAGATTTTAGTATAAATCTAATAAAACATTAGAGAATTTGTATGCTGAAAAACTACAAAGTGCTGATGAAAGAAATCAAGATCAAGTAAATGGAGAGACATACCATGTTCATGGATTAGAAGACTCAACATAGTAAATATGGCAGTGCTCTCTGAATTGATTTACAGATTTAACATGATTCCAACAGAGGTCTCAGCAGAATATTTTGTGAATGTAGACAAACTGCTTCTAAAATTTGTATGGAAAGAAAAAGAATTTAGAAAACCAAGACAGTTTTGATGAAGAATGAATTTTGAGGAATCACACTACTGAGTATTAAGATTTACTGTAAAGCCACAGTGATCAATTCAGTGTGATATTGGCAAAGGAGCTGACACATGGACCAATGAAACAGGAGAGGAAATTCAGAATTAAACCCAAACAAATATGGCCAATTAATTTTTTAAAATGATTTAAATCCAATGGAGAAAGGATAATCTTTTCAACAAATGGGATTGAAACAATTAGATATCCATATACATACATACATATATATATATATATTAAAAAAATCTCAACTTAAACCTCACACCTTATACAATGATTAACTCAGAATGGATCATAGACCTAAATGGAAAAACATAAAACTATAATATTTTTAGAAGAAAACATAGGCCAAAAAAAAATCTTTATGACCTGGTCTTAAGCAAAGTATTCTTAGATGATAAGACAGCAAAAGCATGATTCATTTTTAAAAAACAGATAAATTAGACTTCATCAAAATTTAAAACTTTTGCTTTGTGAAAGACATGGTTAACAGAATAAAAAGACAAGCTACAGACCAGGAGAAAACATTTGCAAAACTCATACCCAACAAAGGACTTGTGATCAGAATACATCAAGAATTCTCAAATCTCAACTGCGAGAAAACAAACAACCCAATTTTTAAAATGGACAAAAGACTTGAACGGACACTTGGCCACAAAAGATATATATATGGAGGTGAATAAACGGATGAAAAAATATTCTTGTCATTAATATCAGCCATTAGTGAAATGCAAATAAAAGCCACTACAAGAAATCACAACAAACTCAGTAGAACGTCTAAAAAAAAATACTGACCTGGGGTAAATACAGAGCAACTGGAACTCTCACACATTTTTAGTGGAAATGCAAAATGGTTCAGCCACTCTGAAAACAGTTTGGCAGGTTTTTTTATAAGGTTAAGTATATGCTTGTAATATGACCCAGCAATCCCACTCCTTGGTATTAACTCTAAAGAGATGAAAACTTATGTTCACACACAAATCCATATACAAATGGTTATATTATTTCTATTTATAATCACCAAACTCCAAAACCCAAATACTCTTCTCTGGGTGAATGGATAGACAAATTATGGAACCTCTATACAGGGGAATACTACTCAGTCATAAAAAGAATCAATTATAGATACATACAACAACTTAGATGGATCTCAGAGGCATTATGCTGAAAGAAGCCGGTCTCAAAGAGTATATCCTGTATGATTCCATAAATGGCATTCTTCCTAAAACAAAACTATAGTGATGAACAAATCAGTAGTTGCCAGGGACTGAGGGGTAACAGGAGCTCTGTGACTCTGAAGAGATAGACCAAAGAAGCCTTTTAGGGAGATGGAATGTCCTGCATCCTGATTGTGGTGGGGGTTAAACCAATCTATATATGTGTTAAAATTCATAGAGGTGTAGTGAACAAAAGTCAATTTTACTGTATACTAATTTACAGAGACACATTTTGAAAGCATATGAAGAAATTGAACATCTTTTAAAAACCAAAAAGTAGCTGGCGTGGTGGTTCACCCCTGTAATCCCAGCACTTTGGGAGGCCAAGGCGGGCAGATCATGAGGTCAGGAGATCAAGACCATCCTGGTCAACATGGTGAAACCCCGTCTCTACTGAAAATACAAACATTATTTGTATTTGGTGCTTCTTGTTCTGTCCAATCCTGGGTGGCTTCTCTGGTGCTTCTTGTTTTGTCCAATCCTGGGTGACTTTTCCGGTGCTTGTTCTGTCCAATCCTGGGTGACTTCTCTGGTGCTTCTCGTTCTGTCCAATCCTGGGTGACTTCTCTGGTGCTTCTCATTCTGTCCAATCCTGGGTGGTTTCTCTGGTGTTTCTCGTTCTGTCCAATCCTGGGTGGCTTTTCTGGTGCTTCTCGTTCTATCCAATCCTGGGTGGCTTCTCTGGTGCTTCTCGTTCTGTCCAATCCTGGGTGGCTTCTCCGGTGCTTCTTGTTTTGTCCAATCCTGGGTGACTTCTCTGGTGCTTCTTGTTTTGTCCAATCCTGGGTGGCTTCTCTGGTGCTTCTCGTTCTATCCAATCCTGGGTGGTTTCTCTGGTGCTTCTCGTTTTGTCCAATCCTGGGTGGCTTCTCCGGTGCTTCTTGTTTTGTCCAATCCTGGGTGGTTTCTCTGGTGCTGCTTCTGTCCAATCCTGGGTGGCTTTTCTGTGCTTCTTGTTCTGTCCAAGGAAGGAGCTGGGAGATACTGAGCTCCACGGGGTGCAGCACGGCTACACATCCATTTCCAGAAATAAGCTTCTGGCTTCAGTTCCACTTGGGAATGAGAACAGAGGTGAAAACCCAAATGTGCCATTGGAGCTGGGCGGGGAGACCACTCTCCCCACGCTCCCTGCGTGGCCGCTGGTGACCGCTGTTGTTCTTGCAGGAGACCACCCAGTGCCGGACGCCTGCCTCTCGGCCCCTTGCCACAATGGGGGCACCTGTGTGGATGCGGACCAGGGCTACGTGTGCGAGTGCCCCGAAGGCTTCATGGGCCTGGACTGCAGGCAGAGTGCGTCTGGGCTGCAAGGGCTGCCGTTTTAGGGCTGGGGCAGGAGACCCAGGGAGGGCCCTCCTGTGGGTGCATGCAGGAAACACCCCGAGAAGAAACGTGTGAGTGTGCATACACTGCAGTTTGTATGGGAAGTTGGTCAGGAGCAGGGCAGGGTCTGGAGCGAGGGTGCCATCTTTCTGCGCCCCCACATGGGAGGCTCCTCCCTCTCTCCGTGGCAGGAGTCCCCGATGACTGTGAGTGCCGTAACGGAGGCAGATGCCTGGGCGCCAACACCACCCTCTGCCAGTGCCCCCCGGGATTCTTTGGGCTTCTCTGTGAATTTGGTAGGTGCCCAGGGCACTCTTCCTGCCCTGTCCCTGAGCATCCTCATAATCAGAAAATGAATGGTGGCTTGGGCTGGGGTCCATGGGTCCGGACTGTCCACCATTGGTCCTACCCCCACCCCAGGAGGGCCTGGCCACAAGAGTGCCTGAACCTGTTGGGGCCCCTGGGTCTTGGGAAGCCCCATCCTTGACAAGGACTCGAGGTCTGCCGGAAGACGTGCGGGATATGGGATGGGGCTTCCTCCTTTCTCTCCAGAAATCACAGCCATGCCCTGCAACATGAACACACAGTGCCCAGACGGCGGCTACTGCATGGAGCACGGTGGGAGCTACCTCTGCGTCTGCCACACCGACCACAATGCCAGCCACTGTGAGTAGCTCAGGGACGAGCCTGCTGGGCTGGGGGCCCGAACAGAAGCCAGGGAGAAAGTGGTGGGTGAGGCAGGCGCAGGCCACAGTCCCTGCTTCCCTTCTGACTCTCAGGAGAGCTGGCACCTGGGGGAGCCTCTCTCAATAGCCTTCCTGTAATGTGGGGCTAGACATCTCCTCTGCCCCAGTAGAGTAAGCTCACACGTGGAAAAGCACTTCTGCAAGTGTACAAGCACCGTGTGGTATCTTCCCTAAGCCCCAACACAAGCTATTAAAATATTTAATGCATACGTAATTAGGCACGTGTAATTAAATGTGTCACTACTATATGTTTGTTAGTGTATAGATGGTTAATCGCTTACATCATGTATAATTATATAGAATAATGATGTGATGCTGGCAGTGATGACAGGAAGGCGTTTCTGTATCACAGCCCAGTCCTACCTCGTAAAATAGGGAAGGGTGAGTTCTGCTAAAATTGAGAAAAAGAGAAATTCCAGGGAGGGGCCTTAGAGCCCACTCCAAGGAACCAAGATGCCCACAGAGTGTATTTTAAGTGGCCTTGGTTCCAGACAGGATGTCAGGGTAACCCTGGCAGGCAAGGTGGCCCGCCAGCCTCTTGCCGCCTGCACGGATGCAGCATAAGCTCCAGGACCACCCTCTGCCCCCCGCCCCCAGCCCTGCCATCACCCTGCGACTCGGACCCCTGCTTCAACGGAGGCTCCTGCGATGCCCATGACGACTCCTACATCTGCGAGTGCCCGCGCGGTTTCCACGGCAAGCACTGCGAGAAAGGTATGGCGGGCAGGGGCGCCGGCGTCAGCACCCTGGAGAGCGCCCGCGGGCCTCGGTTCCGCTTCTGCGGTCTCTCTGTCTTTGTTTGGCGAATTGCTGACCTCTTCTAGAGCCCTGCCTGATGTGCTGCTCTGTTCTGTGTGTTTGGAGGCGAGCACCTCACTGTCGGGACGGTTCTGATCTGCACCAGTGCCAGGCCTGCTGGTCCTTACCTTGCTCTTCTCAAGATAGGCTTCATTGCCTTCTCAGCATTTTTCCAAATAGGTTTTAGAATCATTATATTAAATTTTATTTTAAAAATTTCCTTAGGATTTTGCTCAATCTAATTCAGCATGGACAATGTCGAATTTTATTACATTTAGCCGCTTGAGAGTAGAAGTGTCCTTCCGTAAGCACATTGCAGGCGTAGCTGTCCCCGCCAGGCCCCACCCAGGACTGTCCCTTCCATGCAGTTTGAAGCAACAGTCAGGACTCCCATCAGTGACCCCCAGACCTGTTTGGCATCTCAGTGGCCAGTGCCCAGAGGGGGCTGCCTGACCCCAGAGCGGCCTGGCACCGTCTCCGGGGGCTTGGCCCCAGGCACCCCCGTAGCCTGGACTGGTGTGGAGCCTCCCATGGCCCCTCCCCTGCTCTGTTTCTTGTCCCTGAGGGAAAGACCCTGAAGTCTGAGCCCTGGACCCCGTGGCTCCCCCAATCCCTGCGGCAGAGGTAGAACAGGTTTCCAAAGAGAAGACCCCAACTGCTTGGTTCTTTGCAAGCTCTGACAAGGTCTTTCTCTCTCAACACACTCCTAGGACCACCCTGAGGACCTGCGTGGGCCCTGCCCAGAGCTGACTCTGGCCCTACGCCAGCTCACACCTGCCAGTGGCATGAGGTCCACTGCACCCAAGGGGTGTCCTACCAAAGCCGACATCTCCTCACTAGGCCAGACTGCCAGTACCCAGTGTCCCTGCCCCAACGGTTCTGTGCCCACTCCGGGAACTGCACAGCCCTCCCCCAGGGTCCCAGCTTCCGTGAGCACACGGGCCACCAATGTGGACACCTCTGACCCCAAAGGGAGTACAGAAGGGACAAGGATGGCTGTCCTCAGGGGTGGGGCAGCCAGAGCTTGGACGTGCAGCTTGGGAGGCCCCTGGGGGTAAGGGTTGGCGGGAGAGAAGCGAGCACAGTGGGGCAGGCCCCTCCTGCCGCTCAGAACCCAGATGTCCAAGGATTCGGAGTTCCTCGCTGGCCCTTTGACAGGGTGATTGGCAAGGTGGCAGGATAGATGTGCTGGTTTAGCAGATGCCTTTAAATACATGCTTAGCGTCTGAGTCCCTTGGGAGCCCAGGAACTGTTAGGACCCAGAGAAAATGTGGCAATGCCAATGCAGGTACGGAACACACAAAAATCCAGATTGACTGCTGGGGACCCTGATGTCATGGCGGATGAGACTCAGCCACTTCCTGTCAGACGGGGAATACCTGTGTGCAGGAGGGAGAAGTGCTGCACCTGCAGCAGTAGCCGGGCTGGTTCTCCACAGGGAGGGTCCAGCCATTGCCAGAGCCTGGGCAGAGAAGAGGACAGGCGAGCAAAGGGCCCACCTGAGGCTGAGTTGGGGTCTCTGGCCTGCGAGCCCCACCCCAGTCTCCCCCATGTGTGTGGACCTGCTTGGTCCCCTCTGCAGCCGGGCCCCAGGGCTCAGTCAAGAAGCAGGCCCGGCCTGCCAGGCCCCACCAGCACCAGAGGACTGAGAGGATGCCAGGGGGGTATAGTGGCTCTGTGGAGCCAGCAGCCTGGCCCCGTTCATCTGCCTCTCTGTCCTTCTACACAGCCCGGCCACACCTATGCAGCTCCGGGCCCTGCCGGAACGGGGGCACGTGCAAGGAGGCAGGCGGCGAGTACCACTGCAGCTGCCCCTACCGCTTCACCGGGAGGCACTGTGAGATCGGTGCGGCCCCCAGGGGCAGGGGGGAGGGCAGGAGCAACGGGCCAGCCCTGAGCTGGGGCCCCTGACGCACCCTCCCTGCCAGCTGTGGGTCTGCTTCTCATGAAGAGGCCCCAGCTCTGGGATGTTGGGGAACCTGGGAGGGGCGGTGGGCTGCGACCCTTGACTTGGCTTCTGCTTCCAGGGAAGCCAGACTCATGCGCCTCTGGCCCCTGTCACAACGGCGGCACCTGCTTCCACTACATTGGCAAATACAAATGTGACTGCCCCCCAGGCTTCTCCGGGCGGCACTGCGAGATAGGTAAGGTGGGTGGGAGGCCAGACCAGGGCGGCCGGGGGAACCCTCTCTGCAGATGTGAAAACAGGCCCGTGGGCAGGGCTGGTCCAGGCCCTGGAGGCGCAGGAGGTGGAGCTGGGCGCAGGAGGCAGGATGCCCCATGCAGTCCCGAGCCTTCAGGGAAGACATAGTGGCCAGGACCCTCCTGCATTCTGGCAGCCCCCTCCCCCTGCTTCCGGAGCCCGTGTGTGAATGGGGGCACCTGCGAGGACCGAGGCACGGATTTCTTCTGCCACTGCCAAGCGGGGTACACGGGACGCCGGTGCCAGGCAGGTGAGAGGGCCGGGGGGCCAAGTGGGGAGCATGGGATTTCTTGCTAATCCCTGCAGAGCTGAGCAGGGCAGGGATGGGAAGAAGGAAATACATATCACAGCAACCAGGCCCCAGAAGTCAAGGCACCTTTCCCTGGCGAAGGGCAGTGTGGGAGCAGGACGTCTCTGGGCCCTGCAGCCGGGTTGGGCAGAGGGCAGAGCGGTGGGGAGGGGCCGGGAAGGCACAGGACTGTGCGAGACAGGCTGCTGTGCCTTGCAGAGGTGGACTGCGGCCCCCCAGAGGAGGTGAAGCACGCCACACTGCGCTTCAACGGCACGCGGCTGGGCGCGGTGGCCCTATATGCATGTGACCGCGGCTACAGCCTGAGCGCCCCCAGCCGCATCCGGGTCTGTCAGCCACATGGTGTCTGGAGTGAGCCTCCGCAGTGCCTTGGTGATTCTGCGGGCCCTTGGGGTGGGGAAGGTGGGGCCCACACCCTCCTCACCCTGCCCGTGTGGAGGAGCACAGAGGCTGCAGGCCCAAGCAAGGATGCCCAGCTCTGACCTGGTCCTGCCCCTTCTCCCCTCAGTCTCCTGTCTGTGAATATGGACCGTGGGGTGACAGAGGTGATGATCACAGTCAACTTTGCTCTGGACCATTCACTAAAGGCTTCCCTGTCCTCAGAGCAGCCCGGAGCAGGGGGTCAAACACCCAAATACCCACTCTGCAGATGTAGTAGCTGAGGCCAAGAGGTAGCCCAGGGGCAGAGTCCTAAAGAGCCAGACACAGGTTCAGGACCCACTCCTACTCCTGGCCCCTTGAAGACTTGTGGAATCAAAACAAGATCCCCCTACCCCCTGCAGCCATTTGAGGAGTGCGTTGCCACCGAGGTCCCACCCTGGTCTGGCTTGGGAGCTGGGGGTGCACAGCCTAGAGACAAGGCCCCCCTGACCGAAGCCCCTGGAGAAGTAGGGCCATTAACACCCTACAGGTGCATCACATTACACCAGAGGAGTCCAAACTGTCCATCAGAAAGTCTGTGTGATGTGAGCTAGTTTTATGAAGTAAGGATTTTAAAACAAGCTTAGGAACAGTGGGTGACAGCACCCAGATTTGAGTGAGGCACATAAGCACATCACTGTCCCCCACATGCCCCGCAAACCCAAGGCCAACCTGCGTGGCCTCACTCAGGTGAAGGGTTCTGGGAACACCTGGCTTCAAGCATCCCTCCTTTCCTTCTGGGCTTTAAGCCCCAGGGTGAGCTCCTGACTGTCTTGGAGACCACCCCCCTCCCAGTGCTACTTCCCCTCCTATATGTTGCCAGATGAAAAGCCGATATCCTCAGATAATATGAGCAACCAGCCAGGATATCAAGACACCTGAAAAGTACGATTGTCTCAAAAAACAATAATAAAAGTCCAGAAAATATGTACGATTGGAAGCAGAATTGCAGAAGACAGACTTTAACACAGGAGTTCAAGACCAGCAAAGGCAACATAGGGAGACCTCATCTCTACAAAAAAATTTTAACATTAGCCGGGGAAACTGACATTAATACCAATGTTAGAAAAGAAAAAAATTTCAAACTTGATTAATTAAATGTCTGACTTGAGAAGTTAGGAAGAAAAATACCAAATGATGCTGAAAAAAGTAGAAGGAAAGAGGAATGAAGGTAAAAGCCATATTAATGAAGTAGAGATCAAAGATACAAAAGAAAGGACAAGCCAAAATTAGTTCTTTGAAAAGCCTAATAAAGTCAGGAGTTCGAGACCAGCCTGGCCAACATAGTGAAACCCCATCTCTACTAAAATACAAAAATTAGCCAGGCGTGGTGGCGGGCACCTGCAGTCCCAGCCACTTGGGAACCTGAGACAGGAGAATCGCTTGAACCCAGGAGGCGGAGGTTGTGGGGAGCCACCATCATGCCACTGTACTCCAGCCTGGGCAACAAGAGTGAAACTCCGTCTCAAAAAAAAAAAAAAGGAAACAAAAAAAAAAGGAAAAAAGTCTAGAACCAACCCAAAGACCCAGCCAATGAGAATGGGTGAAGTATGATGTAACCACACTGTGGAATGTTATTCGGTAGTGAAAATCTATGAACCACAGTGACCTGCGATGTGGAGTTCTCTTCTGCATATAATGCTGAGAGAAGACAATATATATCATGATGTACTATGAATAAAGTTCCTAAACAACAAAAACACAGTCATTATTGTTTAGGCAATTTATAAAACTTTTAAAGCTAATTTTAGTTATTTTGCTGCCAGAAAACCTAATTTTTAAAAGATAAGGAAATGATAAACGCAGAAATATTTATCACAGGGGAAGAGGAGGGTGCAAGGTCAGATGAACCCATTCACCATTCTGGCTGCCAGGGCGGATGCTAGTGCCAGATGTCACTAAGTCACTACTGTTTATTTACTTTTTAAGCATGAAATTACACTTTAAGAAAATAAACATTTAAATTCAGGAGCACAACTCCCACTTTAAAAGAAACCTGTGGTGAATCGTTTAGAACTAAGACTGGTCCCAGAGGTACTGGTTTCATAGGTGACTATTATACATTGAAATGGCAAGATGGGACATGAGACATTTTCTGCCAAACCCCTGAGGCCTTTGTCCTGTCGGCCTGAACCACTGGAATTAAGTCCCACAGCGTCTACCGTGAGCCCTGGGGTGGTTGTGAGCCTGCCCTGTCACTTCACAGGCACAGCCAGGCACTGAGCCCCAGGCCCACTGCCCTGCTCTGACTCCAAGGATATCCAGCCCTGGTCTCTGGCCTTTCCAAGCACTGACGATGTATCATCGAATTCTCTCTGGCCCCTCAGAGCTAGTTTATGTGCATCTTAATTTGGCTTCATTGTGGCCACATTGCTTTACTCTTGGACTCTCTCCTCTCAGAAATTGATGAGTGCCGGTCTCAGCCGTGCCTGCATGGGGGCTCTTGCCAGGACCACGTCGCTGGGTACCTGTGCCTCTGCAGCACAGGCTACGAGGGCACCCACTGCGAGCTGGGTAAGAGGGGCCCTGGCCCTGCTGGGGTGGCAGCTCCAGCACACTGGCCATGTGCCTGAGGCAGTGGGTCCCCTGGAGAGGTCTCTGGATGGCTGGGGTGGCCACTGCATGCTCTCTCGGGCCCCTGCCAGCTCTGACATCCAAGACAAAGATTTACAAACATCGCTTCCTGCACCTCCCCAGGGGAGACTGAGAGCCCAGCTGAGAAGTGCTGGCCTGGGCTCAGGGCGCAGAGAAGGTGGGTGTCGCAGAGGGCAGGTCACAGCCTCTGACGCCTGGTCGGTGCTGCCAGCCAGTGGAGGGAGGGGAGGCCTGCCCCGTGAGCCCTGCACACCCTTGTACCTTGCTAGGGCTCTTAAGCCTGAGAAAGAAACGCAGGCTCCAGGGAGGGCAGGCCCAGGGAGCCGTGCCCAGTCGTGCCCTTGGGGAGCCTCCCATTGCGGAGTGGCCTGGAGGAAGGCATGGCCTGGAGGTGGGGCTTTGCCAGCAGGCAGTGGAGGTGACATGCCTCCCGACGAGGGGCGGGTGTGGGGCTGAGGGAAGAAAGCGCACATGTCCCGAGTAGTTACTCCCAGTTGGGGAAGGGGTGACCAAAGCCCCCGGGAATGCACAGAATCCTGGGGGCACGTAGGCGCCTCGGACCTAAGCCAGCAACACCCTTGACACCCCTTCTCTGTGCAGAGAGGGATGAGTGCCGAGCTCACCTCTGCAGAAATGGAGGCTCCTGCAGGAACCTCCCGGGGGCCTATGTCTGCCAGTGCCCTGCAGGCTTCGTTGGAGTCCACTGTGAGACAGGTAGGGGTTCCCTCCAGTGGGCCCCACATGCAGAGCCTGGGCCTCTGGAAGATCAGAGAGGAGGTGGAGCATCCCCACATTCCCTGCTGGGCAGACCACCTGGGGAGGGGGACCCCCAGGGCTGCGGCCACCTTGGGAGGGAGGGGTGGAGGTGAGGGTGCTGGGGAGCGCTGAGGGGAGGGACCTGCCCACTGCCCCTCTCTCCTGGCCTCTGCCCCTAGACTCCTCCTTTCCCTTCTTCCCGCTGTCCTCTCCTCCCTCCCCCAGACTCCCCCCTTGCGGCTTGGGCCCACTCTCTGGGTGTTCTCCAGAGGTGGACGCCTGCGACTCCAGCCCCTGCCAGCACGGAGGCCGGTGTGAGAGTGGCGGCGGGGCCTACCTGTGCGTCTGCCCAGAGGGCTTCTTCGGCTACCACTGCGAGACAGGTAGGGCGGCAGGCCCGCCTGCTGCCCGCGCTCTGCCCACCGCCTGGGAAGGCCCTTTCTCAGGCCACAGGCCAGTGGCCCTCTGCCTGTCTCCCTTGGTCCCATGATGGTGCCTTCTAAACATCCCCATCTCCTGTGCTCACCCCACCCCCCGACACCCCTCTTCACCCAGGGACACGCCCATGGGTGGGGCCTCACATCACACACAGGCCCTGCTGCCCTCGGACAGGCCAAGCTCATTGCACACCCAGGTCCGGCCCGTCGCTGTGTTTCTCTCTGGAACATTCTCCCTAATCAGCCCCCAGTGGGATACCTCCTGATGAGGCCTCCCTGACCACTGACCTCCCCTCGTCAAGCAGGACTGTCACTCTGGTGGTGACCTGGCCTGTCCTGGTCCAGTGTCTCATCCCCTCAGCCAGTCCGGCTGACGGCACTCAGCTGTGGAGGGTGGAGGGGGCTGCTGGGTTGGACCCCGCAGGGCAGTGGAGGTGACAGAACCGAAGGGAGGCAGTAGCTGTCCTGTGCCCCCCTCCCCTCCACACCCACACAAGAGGGACCCAGTGCCCCAGGAACAAGGGCGCGGTTGGAGCGGGGGCCCCTGGCCATACCCCAACACACACAGCTGCTTTTTCTCCCCTCAGCGAGTGACCCCTGCTTCTCCAGCCCCTGTGGGGGCCGTGGCTACTGCCTGGCCAGCAACGGCTCCCACAGCTGCACCTGCAAAGTGGGCTACACGGGCAAGGACTGTGCCAAAGGTGGGTGGCGAGGGCGCCTCTAGTGAGGGAGCCATGAGGGGGTCCCCTCACCCCAGAGGGCCCAACGGTCCCCAAGGGCAGAGCATCTGGCCGCTGCTTGCCCAGGCCCCTTCCCTGAGGAACAGGGAGGGGATAAAATCCCCCGGTGGGCTTGAAACACTGTCACACATGCAAAAGTGTCACCCTCCTGGAGGTATGTGGCCGGGGACAAAGAAGAACTCTGCCAGCGATGGGTGTGTTAGGCCCAAGAGCAGGACCCGGCTGAGCCGCCAATGGGAGCCAGGCGTGCACGGTTGACAGCTGACCAGTCCCCTCCCCTTGTTTTGACCCAAACCCTGAAGAGCTCTTCCCACCGACGGCCCTCAAGATGGAGAGAGTGGAGGAGAGTGGGGTCTCCATCTCCTGGAACCCGCCCGACGGCCCAGCCGCGAGGCAGATGCTTGATGGCTACGCGGTCACCTACGTCTCCTCCGATGGCTCCTACCGGCGCACGGACTTTGTGGACAGGACCCGCTCCTCGCACCAGCTCCGGGCCCTGGCGGCCGGCAGGGCCTACAACATCTCCGTCTTCTCAGTCAAGCGCAACACTAACAACAAGAATGACATCAGCAGGCCTGCCGTGCTGCTGGCCCGCACGCGTGAGTATCCCCAAGCCTGGCCGTCCCCGCCCAGCCCCTGCCCCTCAAGGGCAGCACTGGCCCCGGACACCTGCAGGGCGGCTGTCGTGCCGTCCACCTCCCTAGTTCTCCCAGCAGCAAGACAGCCGAGCTGGGGGTTGGAGGCACCGCCCTGCTGCAGACAGCACTGGGGAGACAGAGCTGTTCGGGAGTGGCCTCGGGTCCACAAGATACAAGCGTGGGATTGGGGCGCATAGAATAGAGCCAAGAGTGGGAGCAGCACAACCCCCAGGCATGGTGCTAGGAAGTGGGACTGGGGAGGAATGGGGCCTTCCCAAAAAGGTCCCTGGAAGGAGCCAGTGCGGGAGACAGGGGCCGCGGGGGCGGGCTTGGATGGGCTGGGACTCTGGGGTGCTCTGAAGGCCTGGGGAGAGTTTGAGGGGCACCTGCTCACAGGGATATGTAGGCACTGGGATGTGCTAAGAAGAGGCATCCGTGGCTAATCGGGAAGAGCCATGGGGCAGGCCCTAGATGGAAGGACAGACCCAGAGCCTCCACCTGGAGCTGGCACCGAAAGCTGTGACCAGATGTGACCCCTGAAGAGTCCTAGGGAGGAGCCCCCTGAGAGCCTGAGCCGCCAAGAAAGCAGGGGAGGCCCGGGTTGTGCACAGCCTCGGGGGTTGTTGCCACGTCGGGGAGCAGGAGATGCTGAGCGCTCTAGGGAAGGCGTCAGGGCTTAGCTGGCTTGTGTGCTGCTGGGAGGGATTCCGGGGAGGAGAAGGGAGCCCCGGAGCACGGCCGTGGACAGACAGGGGCAGGGCCGGTAGAAAGCAGAGGCTGGCCCTCCACTGAGCCCAGCCGCATCAGCTAGAGCACGGGGGATCTTGGTACAGGCTGGGCAGGAACCAAGGTGGGGTGCAGGGCCATGGGGCCATGGGACTCTCACCCAGCACACCTGTGGCTTTCAGACACAGGAACAAGAATGGGGAAGGGGTGCTAGAGGCTCGAGGAAAGAGGAAAAGGTGCTCAGAGCACGGACTGCTGCAAAGTGGCGTGATGGGTGGGTGGGTGGCCGGGGATTCATTGAGGCCTGAGCACCTGGCAGGGCCCCGCGGGGCGGCCATGTGAGTTCGGTGAAACCTACGGGTAGCGTGGTGGGAAGGCAGAGAGGAGCTCGGCGGCTGTCACAGGAAGAAGGCCTCCTGGCCACACCTGGGCCCCAGCTTGAGGCCAATGCCAAGGGCATTGAGGGACAGGCGGAGGCATCCAGGGCAGCTCGAGCCCACCCAGGGGCCCACAGGGGCCTGTCCTGCAGGAGGTGACCACCAAGGGGCTGGAATTCCCAACACAGCAACGACACAGAGCACACCTCAGCCAGTGGGGAGCCTGGATGCACGTGCGGGTGGCACCGAGCAGGTGTCAAGAGGAGCTTCCAGGGACTGAGTAAGGGAGGCTCTCCTGGGCTGTTTTAGGAAGAAGCACCTGCGAGGCTGCCCCATGTGAGGTCTGCCCTCGGAAGGTATCTGGAGCGAAGGCGGAGCCCGCTGTGCCCGCTGCAGAGTGGGGGCTCCAGCCAGCCGTGGTGGGTGGAAGGGACCACTGTTCACAGACTGGGGTGCTGAGTTGCCGGGAGCCACGCGCTGCCCTCTGGGCTCTGCCTGGCGCATCAGCAGTGGCACTGGAGCTTTGGAGGAGACTGGCCAGGCGGGAAGTGGCCCCTGCCCTGCAGTCGCTGGGAGCTCTGTGCGTCCATCCTCCTCGGACAGTGTCACCCAGACCGGGCCCAGATGTGTGCTGTCAGACCAAAATAGTCGACTGGCGCAGAAAAGAGGGGAGGTCCGGGTCGCTCATGTCCAGAGGGACTCCGGCCCATCCCCCGCCATGTCACCGCCACATCTAAATGGAGGTTAAGACCCCTGCCTCTGGTAAAGCAGGATGGCCCACAGCGGGCTCCGCAGCCATCAGCCCTGGAGGCCAGGGCCTGGGCATCCCACTCAGCCCGAGTCCCCTGAGTAGCTGATGGGACACCCTCTCCAGGATCTCTCTGTGGCCCCCAGCACCCTCCCAAGCCTGGTCTCATCTTGAGCCCCTGCCCTCCCCCAGGAGCAAGGAGGGGCCAGCACCTGCTAAGTAGCCCATTCCCCCTAGGACCCCGGCCTGTGGAAGGCTTCGAGGTCACCAATGTGACGGCCAGCACCATCTCGGTGCAGTGGGCCCTGCACAGGATCCACCATGCCACCGTCAGTGGGGTCCGCGTGTCCATCCGCCACCCTGAGGCCCTCAGAGACCAGGCCACTGATGTGGAAAGGAGTGTGGACAGGTTCACCTTTGGGTGAGAGGGGACACCCAGAGCATGGGGCTGGGGCGAGGGCAGGGGTGGGGGCTCGGGGACACGGGGCCCAGGTCTCGGGCACATTCTCCATGTGTGGACTGTGCACCTGCCGCTCCTCACCCGGGTGGAGGCAAAGGTCTCTCAGGTGAGCCAGCCTCTGACCCTGGAGGCCTCACTCCTGCCTCACCTCATCAGAGCTGCCAAGAGAGGATACACCTTCGTAGTGTTTTAAAGTGTCCATAAAGAGCAGGAAAAGCTCTGAAAACCCGGGAGCACGCCTTCCACACAGATCGTGAGAGTGACTTGGCCCCTCAGAGAGCAGCGGCCAGCGAGGGGAGATGGTAACAGCCCCAAGCTCTCCCGGAGTCCCACAGTGGACCCCTGTGATTTGGGCACCAGCCAGAGAGAAAGCTTCCGATTCGTGCTCAGCACAGGCAGGGGTGCCGGGAAAGACCGGAGAGCGAGTGGGAAGGAAGACGCCAGCCAGCAGCTTCCTGGGGCTGGGGCAGCATTGGCCTCACGTTGCCCTGTGGTTTCCTGAGAATTTACATCAACTCACCTGCGCCGAGGGGCATCGGGCCTGCCTGTCCCCCGTTCCCGCACAGCGACCACTTCCCCCTTCTCTGGCCTCTCCCATCTGAACACCGGCCCTCTGACAATACTGTAGCGGCCCCAGGCGCACCCGATCCTCCGCCGCTTCCCATCCTAGGAGCACACGGCTCTGAGGGCTGTGAGTGTGCCCCTCCTGGAGGTCGCCTGGGCCACCAGCAGCAGGGCGACCTCCCGCCGGTCACCTCCTGACTGGGGGAGCTGCGGTCTGGCAGCTGAGTCACACACAGGTCCCAGACGTCCCTGTTCTCTCTTCGTCACCTCCTGCCCACAGGGCTCTGCTGCCTGGGAGGAGGTACACCATCCAGCTGACCACCCTCAGTGGGCTCAGGGGAGAGGAGCACCCCACGGAGAGCCTGGCCACCGCACCAACACACGTGTGGACCCGTGAGTAGAGCGGCACGGCCCCTGGCACACGAAAGGCTGTCTTCTAGAAGCTCTGACTTCCTTCCAGCCTCCCCTAGTCCTCTCCAAAGCGTCCCAACACCAGAAACCCAGCCCTGGCCTCCCGGACATCTCTTCCGCTGGGGCCATTGAGCAGGGGCCACTGGGCAGGAGCCATTGGGCTGCGCTGGGCCCTTGTGCTGGGACAGCTCTCCAGGGCAGTCTCCATCTCTAAAGGCTCTTGGTAGCTCCTCAGCATGAAGTTCCTACTGGGCACTGACCAGAGGGTCAGAGGAACTCACTGGGCCAGGGATACCCACGCTGTCCAGGGCCCTTGCACCTTGCAACCAGCCCCCTCTAGCTAAGCTCCTGGTGTCACTAGGCCCACACCCCCTCCCCAGTGCATGGGAGGGGCAAGAGCACAGTCAGCAAGCACACAGGGGAGGGGTGGTGAACCGGGCAGAGGGGAGGCTGCAGCTCCCTCCGTGAGGAACAGAGGCTTGAGCAGGCCCCTGCCCACCTGTGCACTCGGATGCTGCCCGCCTGGGAAGGCACAGGAAAGGCTGGTGGAGTAGGGGAGTCTGCCCAGGGCTCTGTGCAGCCAGGCTCAGGGGAACCAACAGTGCTGCAGGGAGGGCGCCAGCTGACGGGACAGGGCCTGGGGGCTTCGCAGGGTGAATCCTAACCCGAGGGGAGGGTGGCATCGGGGGCCTGCAGGCCTCTTGGTTGGGAGATGCTGCCGTGCGTGCTAGCCCACACCCCGCCTCAGTGCTGTGCCGTTCTCCATAATAAAGAACCTGGCTCCCAGCAAGGCTGCGGCAGCCCCTGTCAGGTTCTCAAACTGTGTTCTCACCAGAAGACACTGTGGGCACCCCCTCACCTCTCCCTGCTCCTGCCTCGTCCAGGGCCCCTGCCTCCAGCAAACCTGACGGCCGCCCGAGTCACGGCCACCTCTGCCCACGTGGTCTGGGATGCCCCGACTCCAGGCAGCTTGCTGGAGGCTTATGTCATCAATGTGACCACCAGCCAGAGCACCAAGAGCCGCTACGTCCCCAATGGGAAGCTGGCGTCCTACACAGTGCGTGACCTGCTTCCGGGACGGCGGTACCAGCTCTCCGTGACGGCCGTGCAGGGCACGGAGCTCGGGCCACTGCACAGCGAGCCCGCCCACCTCTACATCATCACCTGTGAGTGCCGCAGGCCCTGCGGGTGGGTGGGGCAGTGTTTGCCAGCCCTCCACCCTGTTCAGGACTGACCTGGCCCTGCAGGGGCCTGGGATGCCAGGCGGACAGCCTAGAAACAGGACCGTGTTAGCAGGGGAGAATCTGTGTATGAAAGGGGAGGCTTTTCAAACCCACAAGGAAAGGAAAGACTCATGGGCGGGTGGCACCAACAACTGGAATAAGAAGCACATGGAGCCTCAGCTTGTGCTGGACCCCCCCCCACCCCGTAGATCCCAGACAGGCTGAGCGTCACCTGAAAACGCGTGCCGAGGGTGGCAGCGAGGAGGAAGCCCCCGGAAGTGGCCGTGCAGCCCAGGCCTGACCCATGAGGGGCCGCTGGACACAAACAAAGGGCCAGGAGGCCACGGGCAGGGGCCTGCAAGGAGCAGGAATGCTGGGGCGCAGAGGCACAGCCGCTCGGAGTGGGGACAGAGGCTCTGAAGGGCTCAGGTCTGCTCCCAAGTGCAGAGGTGGCCCTTCCAGTCTCCACTAGGGTCCTGAATGCCCCACTTAGGTCTTCCAAGTTCACAGAAGGAGCTGTGGGAAAATGCAGGAGCAGAACAGAGAGAGAAGAGAGAGACGGAAACAAGCAGGGAGGAGTAGCCACGGCCGGACAGAGCAGAGCAGGGGGCGGCTCCCCAGGGAAAAGGGGGCTCCGACCCCAGGCTCCTCCCCAACCCGTGAGGCTGTGCTGGGGACACGAAGTACATGAGCTTGGCGAGTTCTCAGACCCAATCCTGCAACCCCCACCAGCTTGGGGCCAAGCCCACCAGCCAGGTGGAAGGGGCAGGCTGGGACCTCCGTGAGCCGGCCTCAGTGTGAGAGGGAAGGGGGGCTCACAGGGAAGGAGGACCCAGCCTAGGAGGCTGAAGGACACTGTTAGGGTGACAGGTTGCGCCCTCACTCTCAGGGCACATGCTGGGGTGGGGACTCCCAGCTGAAGTGTCCCATCCAGAGGCCAACTGGGGAGAACAAGTGTGTCTCCAGGGCAGCCTGGGACCTGAGTCCTAGCTGGAAGGCCCAGCCCCTTTTGAGTGACAGGGGCAGGGGCCTACACTCAGCCCCTGCCTCACGACTCCCAGGCCAGTGCATGCCTTTGTCGTGGCTGTGCGTGGCTCCTGCTCAGCAGCGATGTGACGGGTGGGCTGGAAGGGAACCCAGGGCATCTGGGGAAGCCGCAAGCACCTTGGATGACCACAGCTCACTCACACACCCCCCTTCCCTTCTCCAAGCACAGCTGAGTGTGAGGGGCACCTCCCATGCCACAGGGGCAGGGACAGGAGCAGAGGGCAGCCCCAGACCAGCCCCTTCCTCCTGCCTGCTCTGCAGCCCCCAGGGATGGCGCTGACAGACGCTGGCACCAGGGAGGACACCACCCTCGGGTGCTCAGGAACAGACCGCCCCCGGTGCGCCTGCCGGAGCTGCGCCTGCTGAATGACCACAGCGCCCCCGAGACCCCCACCCAGCCCCCCAGGTACATGCCCCACCTGTCGGCCCCATCGCCCGAGGCGGCGCTCGGACGGCGGTGACCCTTCCACCCTCTCTGCAGGTTCTCGGAGCTTGTGGACGGCAGAGGAAGAGTGAGCGCCAGGTTCGGCAGCTCACCCAGCAAAGCAGCCACCGTGAGATCACGTGAGTGCCGGGGCCTCCCCACCCACCTCAGTGGCCAACCCTCGTCCTCGCTGCCACTCTCACCAGCCCCTGCCCCCTACATGATGAGTCTGCCCCCACTGCCCAGCGCAGTCTCCAGCCAGGGACGCATGCATCTCCGTGGCGGGAGGGGCGGCTCGTGAGGGCCTCACGTCAGTGTGTGGGCTGGAGGCACAGGCTGCTGGCAGGGCACGCGAGAGAAGATAAACATTTTAGAAGCAGGTCTGAGACGTTACAGCAGCTTTGTTTGCCAAAGTAGGGCTCTGAGCTTTGTTTTAGTAAAGCCATGGGCAGGAGGCCATGAGGGCCTAACCTGCCACTCAGAGTGTGGTCCAGCAGATCCTCCGCCACTGTCCTGGCAAGATCTTCCTGGTGGCAGCAAGAGGGTCTAACCTGCCACTCAGAGTGTGGTCCAGCAGATCCTCCGCCACTGTCCTGGCAAGATCTTCCTGGTGGCAGCAAGGCCGATGGGGGGCCCAGGTACCTTGGCCCCTTCCCACCCGCTTTACTGGGTGAGGGCTGCTCCGGGAATGTGCCTGCGATTCTGACACAGAAGCCCTGAGATATGCTGGCAGGAGTGAGGCAGGCACCACCCTGCCCTAGAGGGCACCTCTCTGGCCCTTGCCTCTCACCTGGAAGGCCAGGTGCTCATCCTCCTGGAATCCCCCAGCAGAGCCGAGTCACCAGTTTAATGAACACAAAACTGAACAAAAACTCCCCAGGCAGGGGAGGGAGGGGACGCAGCAGGGAGACTGGCAAGGAGGGACCAGAGCCCTGGGGTCACTGCTGCATGGCAAGCGGGGGAGAGAGCCCCAGCAAGGTGTCTGGGGAGAGGGCAGGCAGCTGCTCGGGACGCCCAGTGGTGGGCAGGTGAGATCTGGAGTACAGAGCGGGGGCCTGTTGTACTTGCAGGTATGGAAGGAGATATCAAATGTCCAAGGGTGCGGTTGAGAACCCTGCATAGAAGTGATGCAACTGGGGGCAAGGGCATGGGGAAGGTCAGCAGAGGCTGAGGGCAGATCAGGGAGAGCAGGGGGTGCTGTAGCCCTCCCAGAAGCAGGGGGTGGAAGGAGAGGAATGCAGAATTTGACCCTAAGAAGAAAGCAACTGCATCAGCCTTGAGGATGGGGCCTCTCGGCATGCTCACTGCTGGCTGCCCCTGAAGCAGCTCTGAGGGGCCCTGCAAGTGGAAGGGCCAGCCCTTCAGGGGAGGCAGTGCTGGGGCTGACAGGCACCGGGCCATGCAGGGAGCCTGGTCCCCACCAGGGACATCCGTGCTCCCTAAGGTATAGAAGCACTCAAAAGGGTGGCCCCAGGACCATCCGGGTCAAAAGGGTGGCCCCAGGAGCAGCCGGGTGCAAAGCAGCTGCACCATGTGGTCACCGCCTGGCTTCTCCTAGAACCCACAGCCTCAGCGCAGCTCGAGCACACCGAGGAAGCCCCCAAGCAGGTCAGCCTGGCCCTCCAGCTCCCTGAACACGGCAACAAGGACCTTGGGAGTAAGTTGGCAGTGCTGGTGGGGACTTTGGGACTGACTGCTCTCAGGGGCCTTAGAGGCTGCAGGCAGAAGGGACCATCCACAGTGAGGAACCTAAGGGGAGGCTGAGCACCAGGCACCCCAGCGTGGGAAGATGGGGGGAAGCTACCACCCAAGCAGTGGGACCCCATCGACGGGAACAGGCCAGGGGGCAAGACCCACCCAAACCACCCAGGGTCTGAGCTGGAGAGACTGGCTTTGCCGCCCCCTCCCCTCCCCTCCCCTCCCCTCCTTCGCCTCCACATGCAACAGAGCCCACCCCAGCCCCTGCCTCTGGGCCCCACACCCCTCGCTTCTCCGAAGAGGAGCAGGTGGAGTCAGGAGGGGAAGGGAGCAGCCACTGGGCGAGCCCCAGCTCGAGGACCAGCTGGGCCCTGTGGACACTCAGGTTATGCAGGACCTGAACTGTCTCCTAGTCCGGGGCTCTGCCTCGTGAGAATTGAGGCCAGCACATCCCTGCGGGGCGCCGAGCATCTGCTCAGCACCTGCAGTAAGAGTTCCCGGAAGCTCACGAGGCAGCTCCCCTTTAGGCAGCACTAATGCATGTGTGTTCCTCAGCCTGAGTCAGACTCTGCCTTTCTCTGGGTTTTAATGCTTGGGGGCTGTGTCCTCTATGAACAGCTCTCCTAGCACCCGGTGACCTGTCCTCCCCTGAGTCACACCACAGACTGAGATTGGGATCACCCCTCAACCCAGCCCCAAAAGAAGGCCTAGTACTTGGTAAAGGTGTGAGCCACTGAGCATGGTCTCACCAGCAAGTCCCTGCCCTCAGCTTCTCAAGGACATCTGTGCACATCAAGGGCACCTGCAGTGCCAGAGGGTGCATTTGCAAGTGGCAGTTTCGCTGAACCCTAAGTTCACATTCCCCCCTCACCATATGAGGTCCGGACTCGCTGCTAGTCCCTGTGAGCACCAGGAGGACTGGCTTGTGCATCCGACGCAGTGAGTGAAGGATTCTCTTAATTAAGGTGTGGACCTTTAAGGGAACTAAAACGAACCTTTCATCAGATGGTTTGCATTGTGTCAGACCCTCTAAATAGCAGGTGTTCATTTCCTAGAACTCAGAACTTAGAGGGGCACGTGTTACTCCCCTGGGTCTCTTCGGCAGGAGAGATTCAGGATGACCCCCAGGCTGGCCCCGAGGTCACTGCACTCATGTGTTTGCCGGCATGAGATGCTCATGCTCTGGTGGGTGCAAAATGATTTTAAGTGATAACATGAAAAGTCGAATCTTTAACGGCCCCTCGATGTGCAAAGCTAGTCATGATCTTTGATTCATGTTGCACTCTCACACTAGCTACCTTTCATTTAATTAGTCTTTGAATAATGACTTTAAATCAAGAACCCGACCTATACACTTGAACGTGAACAACACCTTCTATCTTTTTTGCCGTCATACTCCCTGTTCTCTCCCCTCGGTTAACCATGATCCTGAACTTGGTGCTTAGAATTCCTTTGTTTTCTTCAGAGTGGAAGGTGGGGAAACATATATTTTTTCGGACATATATGTGTGGCAGAACAATAAGTGAGTTTTCTTTGCGAGATAATTATCTTGCCGTGTGTGATCGTTAGACCTGTGTTTTCACTCCGCATTCTCGGACGGAGGTTGGCCCATGCGGTCTGGGCGGCTGTGGCTTGTTCACACCCACTGTTGAGCACAGAGTCCACTGAGTGAATTGACCAGCTTTTCTCCCCTCTCTGTGCAGAGAACATGTAGGTTGTGTTTGGTATGAGCGGAGCTGCAGTGGATGTTCCTGTACAGGTTTTCCGGTACGTGTGTGAGAGTGGAAGTGCTGGATCTAGGATGAGGATGTGTGAACGCCCGAATTACACGAGAACACTAAGTCATTTTCTAAGAGGCAATAGCAGTCTGCTCTCCCTCCAGCAGTGATGAAGATAAGCAGTGAATCCAGTCTCTCTAGAACTAGGTTTCGCCAGGTTTGCAGATCCTGTAGGCAGAACGGGTGTGACGCAACCCCTGGGATCTGGGTTTGCACCTCCTGAGCACTGATGTGACTGAGCCTGTCTTCCTGGGCATCCACCAAAGGTGTCTGCTTCTGTGAAATGCCTGGTCACACCTTTTGACTTTTTGTTGGGTTATTTGTACTCTTCTTATTCATCTGTCAAAATTCTTACATATTTTGATACTGATCCTTTGTCAGCTCTGTGTTCTGCAGTTATCTTCTTCCAGCCTCTGGCTTGTCCTTCCCTATTCTTGGTGGTATTTCTTTTTTTTTCTTTTTTTTTTTTTTTTTGAGA